ATCATAAACTATCTCATTCTCAGTGAAAAAAAAATTAGTGTCTTACCGTCTTGAGATATCCTGCTGAAATACTGTTTGCTGCTCTTACATCGAACAAACAAAAATAGTAGCACTTTTATTTTGCCTTTTTATTGTATTTTAAATGCTGTAAGCTGCCCAGAGACCTTCGGGTAGAATGGGCAGCATATAAGTTAAATAAATACATGAATGAATAAATAATTTTTTTGGTCCGCAACAGCATTAGCAAAAATTGTCAGTTCTTCAGCATACCACTACTACTGCTACTACCATTATTACTAACAACAACAACAACACATTTTAAAATTATAAAAATAGCATTTTTCACAAAAACATTATATATTTTTTTTCACAAAAAACCTTATGGGTACAAGCGACAATATTTTTGGCATAAACTATACGGCCATTTTTTGTATGTGTTTTGTTTTGCACAAAAGCACTTTTGCCCGTTATTCAGAAAAAAAGGCTCAAAGTGTGAAAAATGCACAGAAAGTCTTGTAATAGTCAACGAGGGAATACTTCTGAAACTTCTGGAATTTTGAAATGTTTCATTTTTCCATATGAGAATATACAGTAATTTTCATCTGTAGCTTGAAAAGGTGAAGAAGAAAGTCCCAGGTTTCTTTTACTATCTCCTCGTTTTGTTCAAACAAATTAAAACAAAACGTTCAAAAGCTACTGCTTGTCGAGTGATGTTATGAGAATTCCATGAGTGCATTTTTCATATTTTGGATTTCTTTAAAAAATGAACAATTTCCGGAATTGGTACTTGCACGAAATATTGCATTTTGCACAGAAGACAAACCTTTTTAGTGCAAAATATGAGGTTCCTTGTGCAAAACAAAGGGTTTTGTTTTGTTGGCTAATGCTTACTGTATAATCATGTGGCGTGGTGGTGGGTAGTGGCGATGGAATCCTGGTCTTTTCATTCTCATGCCAAAGCAAAAAATCTGGCAGCAGCTGACAATTTTTTGAGTGTATCTCTCCATGTATTTAGACCTCCTTCCAAGGACACGAAAAATGGTGTGCATTTATTTCATTCTTATTTTACTGGCACTACTTTGGACTATTGGATCATCGTGAAGTATTTGTTCCTAATCCATAAAGCAGCTTGAATCATGCCACTAATTTTCTTCCCTTTTCTCATTGTATCAGAGTATTCCTAGGGACTCCAATATAAGTAGAGTATCTCAATCCTTTTTTCTTTTTTTTCTTTCCAGTATGTTAGGATATACCACTGAACTCTGAAGGTGAATCATTCTACCTTTGGCAGAATGCTAAGGGCATTGCAATGTTGTAATCCAAATAACCGCAATAACTATAGGCATAATTATGCCAGCGGAATTAATATTGTTTGCTACTCCCTCAGTGTAGTCTTAAAATAGAAGCCTTTGATGGTTAAATTTTAATGGAATAATCAAAGAGTAGTTAATTCCACAGCATGAGGTATCCTTTGTGCACAATTTCCGAGGTTAGGAAAGCTCACGTTTTCGCTGTGACCTGGTTGCCTAAACATCCCTAGATAGTTTGCAGTATTTGTTAAATTAGCTGTATATACATTTGTCTGTTTGTGGATTTGCTCAATTAATCAAAATAAGTGGTTTTCACAAACCAGTTGTGCCATCCGAGGCTGCAATCGGCAGGCTCTTTAAGATCTGCGTTTCACAGGTTAATCTCTCTAAGCATCATCTTAAACTCATTCTTATCAGTTAGATTTAGTAGCAGATTGTGAGCTTTCCTTATTATCTTGTTAAATCAGTAGGTGAAAGCCTTTCAAGGCATCTATCTATTTTAAACATCTTTTATTAATGTTAATATGCCAGATGGGACAAATTAAAATGGTTCTGTTCCACACGCTGCCACTACCCACAATCTTACCACATCATTTGCTGGTTCAGGAAGCATAAGAAAATGATAGGTGTAGTATATCCCTGTAATAAAAATTCTAAAAGCTCTGGTATTCCTGACTAAAAGAGATTATTTTTAAAACAGAGTTTACCAAAGGAAGCTATCTCTGATGGGAAAAGGGGCGAATATTCCGTAGCTCAGTTGTTTAAAGTTTCTTCATATGAATATAGGTTTTCTAAAGGCTCAGAAGAGGGGGAATTTCTGTTCATCCAGTTTTTGTTTCAATTCCTGTTTATTTTAAACAACATATAATTTTTCAGGTAATAGCATTACATTAATTTGTTGCAGGTACAGTGAAATGGCCATTAGAAGGGGAAAATGTCCTTAGTTGTTCAAGAACAGAGTTGTGACGTAGATGGTAAGATAGTGAGGAGGTGTACTTCTGTAGCACAGAAGAGTTCTACTAGTGGAAAAGACTACCGACCTAAAGGCTCCACCACTGAGAGTCTGTATTTACGCCCATGGAAAGATGTGTTGGTCATAATCCACCTTCAGTGGTGTTCCTGCTCATTACAGACAATACTAGGCCTGAAACGTTGCAATGTGGAGATGGAATAGGAAGTTTCCATTCCCTCAGGAAGTGCAAGTCTGGGCCTGTTTTTCTAATTAAATCAACAAAGTTTCCACTAATGAAATCAGTGGGGTCTCCAAACTTGCCTTCTGGTCACTTCCAGTGCAGCTCTGGATACCTCAGTTGCTTTGCAATATTAGGACAACTCAGGAGAATTCCTTATCAGTCAAAAATTTCTATGTGGAGTTCCCCCAAAATATGTGATAATGACAACTGATTTTGTTCCTCTTGGTAGAGTTCCTGGGAGAAGATTAAATGGCTATCGGTTTTATTTGCAAGATATGCTCCTACCAGTGGCAAAAAAAGTCAGTGATTTCCTGCACGTATACATCTTGCATTTATTATCTTGAGTTTGTGATAGATCATTGGAAGATAATAATGGGCTTAATTATAGTCTGATTGCTGAGGAACGTATCTCTGCATGGTGGGAAGGAAAACAGATTACTCACAAAGAATACACATAATCCCTAAAATTTGATAGTAAATAGTACTGGGACTACAAAATCCTTCTGAATCACTCAAATGATTAAATGCAGCTGCATTGTGATTATTCTGCTCTTAAACGTTGGGTTAATTTCAAAAGTATAACACTAAACAAGAGTTGCTGTGTTTTGTGGGGTGTGTCTTATTTGGAAGGGCAAAATTTCATTTTCTGGAGTCTACTTTTAAACTTCTATATACAACCACCTTTGGATGTAGTATCTGCAGAATGACGATGTTACTCTGTTGTATTTTTTTTTCTCATCAAATCAAAAGAGCAACTGAGGTGTCCTTGAGCAAATGCCCTGAAGTGGCTGTTAACTGAATGAAGGCTAGCGAAGCTCAGAGGTGAACAGAGACATCAATGATGTACTTGTCCAAAGCTAAGGAGTTTGTTTTTATATGTACTGTAGAGAGTTGAACTTTCCTGTCCATGTCTGGATCCTGAACCCAATTTGTTTAAAAATGAAAAAAACAATTTCATTGTGCTCTGCTACCATTTGAACGAGAACAAGAAGCTTTGAAAAGAATAGAATGCTTATATTATTCCCTACCAGAATTTAAGAGCATATTACATAGGCTAGTGTACAGGCTACTTGTTCTACCCAGTAATAAGAAATAGTATACGGTCTAAACTATATATTACAGGTACCATGCCATTAGAAGCTGAAATAATATTAGTCTGTCTGTTCTGAAACCTTTAATGGCATTTACAAGTTACAACCACACAAGCAAAATAGAAAAAGTGAAATTACACAGATTTCACAAATGAGGGGCGAGAAGCAGGGGACAATTTCAGAATTGCAGATAGGAAACCTGCAACAGCAGCAGTCAGAGCATTACATTCATCACTCATGAAAATAGAAAGAATTGTCTCAGGAGAATTGGAAAAATAAGAGATCCAAGGTTCAAGAAAAAAAATCGGAGGTGGGAATGAGCAAGACATTGAAACAGTATATGAACCAGGGTGTCAGGGGTCTCTAAAAAAAAAAACACAAAAAAAACAGAGTCTTTTTTCACGAGGGATATTGAGAAATCGACTGGCATGGGTGGCTGAAGGAAAAATGTTAAAACGGGCTAACATAAAAGCTCTTCTTAGATGTGGATTTACTAGGGAGTGGAAATATTTCCATGAGATGGAAAAAATCCAACAGAGAGAGGGGAACATACAGGGTTAAGGTTATTGCATAGGTGATTGAATTCGGTGTGACAGAGCTTGTCCTTGATTATGGAATAAGCTCTGGTGAGATTCATATCTGCCAAAGATTCCAGGGGTATGTGAAGAGAAGAGAGTTTCTTTTCAATAAGCTGGAACCAAGAAAAGGAGTAAGAATCGCACAATAAATCGTATATCAGGGATCCAGAATGTGAATTTAAAAAAAGAC